ACATTGTCCAGAAAGAAAAGCGAGCAGGAAAAAAAAAAAAAAAAAAGTGCTGATATCGACTCTTGGTTTTGAACGAAATTTCTTCTTTTTCACCCTTTGTATGAACCTTTTTTTGGTTCTCGTTTTTTGGTGTTCGCATGAACCTCAAACCCCCGCGGGGACAAGTACAAACAAAAAAAAAAAAAAAAAAAAAAAAACACCATACACAAAAACGAAAGAGGTCATTCGGGACGTCTGTTAAAATTGGAACGATACAGAGAAGGGTAGATTAGCATGGCCCCTGCGCTTTAAAGGATGACACACATAAATCGAGAAAACGAAAGAGCGCATCAGACCCCGCCGCCAGGATGGTTAAGGTGAAAAAGACAAACGTTAATGGGAAGGGAGAGGGAGAGGGGGGAGCGGAGATCAGAAGGAAGATAATGAATGCGGCAAGCTGGTACTCAGACAGACACCCTCCAACACATAATGGCACAACGCGCAAAATATACATAGGGCCTCGCTGCACTACTCTCGACATGCACAGAAGACAAAAATCATGGCGGTGTATCTTTCCATGTTCTAGCCGAAGATCCACTCTCATTTTGCACATTTCCAGAGTAGTGGAGCGAGTCCCATGCACACAAAAGAAAGGAGGAAAAATTAAGACCAAAATGGCCAACGCGCAAGGACGACACGCATAAATCGAGAAAAAAAAAAGAAAACCTTTCCCGCTACGAAGACCGAAAAAAAAGGGGAAAAAAAAAAAAAGAGCAAGGACATGAGGGCAGTCATCCTGATCCGCTAAGAAGAAGAAGAGGCGGCAAGGCACATAATGTCACAACGCGCAAAATAGACATAAAGACAGCGAAAAGGAAGAAAAAATCATACCAAAACAATGACAACCGCCCAAGGACGACACGCATAAATCGAGGAAGGCAACGATACCATTCCCGGAACAAAGACCAAAAAAAAAAAAAAAAAGCCCAGTACAAAGACCCAGAAGAGCAAAAAAAAAGAAAAAAGGGAGCAGAAAATAAGGAGGATAGTCATCGTGACCGGCTAACCTGAGAGGCGTCAAGAAGGCAAAACGAAAATGAAGCTCGCGCAATAAGCCCTTACAAGTTACAACACCCTGAGACGCAGAGGCCATAGCCTCCGAGCAATGTCTGTTTTTTTCTGAATAAACAGATCACATGCGCATTGCGCAACATCAAAAGAAACCAAAAAAAAAGAAGAAGAAGAAAAGATCATACACATTGTCACATCCAATTAGCCATTTCATAAAAGGGGGCAGCATTATGAGTTCCTCGTACAAGTACCTCTTCTGCAGTGGAACGGGGGAATTCATGAACGCGAGGTGTACCAGACCAAAAAAAAAAAAAAAAAAAAGGTCGAATACCAGACAAGACGTAACAAGGAATGCAAGAAGCAACACCACGTCTTCTCCGTAAAGCGCAGAGGCCATGTCTTCCAAAAGCAATGTCTGTTTTCTGATAAGCAGATCATGTGCATATAAAAAAGGAAAATGAAGGAGGAAACGCCACCATACAGAGTGCCACATATAAACATATAGTCAGCCATCTCATGAAAGGGGGGGCAGCATGATGAATTCCTCGTACAAGTAGGGCTTCTGGAGCCGAACGAGGAGATCGTGAGCGCGAGGTGTAGGTCGGATAACCGACCAGACGCGCCACGGCAGGCACAAAAAGGAAAGCACAATTATGTCTTCTCTCTGTATTTACGTTACTTACTAACGTTCTTACTACCGCCATCGTCGTGGGAGTCTAGATCTACATACAGACTCAATCTTCCTTCCCTCTTCCTGTCCCATCCTTTCCACATCAGCAGCTATTCCATCCAATAGGTGATCCTAACACACCCGAAGCGCACTACAAACTCGACCTTCCTTCCGTCTTTCTGTAACACATCCTTTGCTCATCAGCAGCTACTTCTTAAGTGCTAAACATGTCAACTTCTGATCTTTAACCATATCAGCTTCCATCTTTATCAAAGTCAGCTCCGCTATTCCAGTTCAACGTTATAGCTGCTTTATCCCTGTCCGCATCAGCTGCGCAGGCTCTATCCCCCCACGTCAGTTTCCCTCCGTGGGTACAAAACAACAACTGCTGCCTCCCGCCCATCCATATCAACATGGCATCATTTGCTTCTGCATTCACATGACAGGCACGTTTTTTTTTTGTTTTTTTTTTTTCAGGCACACTATTTCCATCTGCAGGTGCCAAAGATTACATACGTAAAACTACATTGAAAAATACTCACCATCTTCAACAACAACGGCCATGAGAACGAGAACCTCCTCTCATCGCAAAACTTTCATCTTCATCTGCTGAAGTTGCCTTGGACGATCTCACCGCATACATCCTTTTCCTGTTTCACCTCCTGGAAAAGGGGAACACTTCTGTGTCCTCTCTTTCTTCGCCATCTTCTTCTTCGTTGTCTTCGTCGTCATCAACTCGAAAACTCCGCCGCCTTTCCCCTTCATCATCGTTTTTTCGCGTTCTTCAAAACGATCAGTTTTTCTTATTTAAAAAAAAAAAAAAAAAAACGGTTTTCCTGTCTTGAAAGAGGACAACCTAAATGTCCGTCCACTGCTATCGACTGTTCTCCGTCATCCGGATCCCGACTGCCGCGTCCGCCTTTTACGTTTCCCTCTACAATTATTTTCCCCCATCCAACGTTATCCTCCTCTCCTCCTCCTCCTCTCCTCTCCTCTCCTCTCCTCTCCTCTGCTTCCGTCGCCTTCCTTCCCTACCCATTTATGATGGGCACTTTGGTTAGGCTTTTCACTTATTCATCATCATCTTACTCGGTTGCACTTCTTCTCCCACCTCTCTCTCCTCCTTCCCTCCCCCCTCTCCCCTCTCCCTCCGCGCCCTCCTCTTCGTTCCATACGATTAACATACCGACCTTTTTGTTATCCTCCATTGATTCTCCACGTTACTCGCAGATTACCATCCCCGTCCTCGAGTCCTCTAATGACGACATTTTGCGTTGTCGTCAACGAGATTCCCCCAGCGCCGCCTTCCTTGAACGTGTCACGTCAACGAGAAAAAAAATCACGCACTCAGATCCAACGGCCATCGCCGCCTCCTGTTCGGACACTCAGCATGGAGAACCCCGTTCCCCCTTCCCCCTTTCCCTCCGCCTCCCCTCCCCCTCCGCCTCCTTTCCCCTTCCTCTTCCTCTCTTCTACTTCTGACTCTTTGATTTAGTCAAGACTGGCTTTAAACTTCTTGAAAATGGTCGACCCTCCCTTTCTGAACGGCAGCTTGATCGCACCGAATCGCGACTCTACGCTGACCGTACCCTCCAGTCGGTATCCCGACTCAGCACCGCTGACTATATCCCACACCGCCCGTCCCAGATCCTTCGGTCTGAACGTGAACGGGATCGTCAGCCTCGTCACACCCTTCTCCTCCACTCCGATCGGTTTCTCCATCTTCCCCTCGGAGATCAGATCATCCGTAAGATAGAGTCTGTAATCGAACGACTTAATGTTCATCGTAAAGGCGTTAAGGTTTTCAAGCTTCACGTAAGCTACCGCCTTCGTCTCCGTAAAGGACAGATCTACCCAATCGAGTTCGTCCAAGTCCACGTCGGGAATCGCCGGGATCGGGAAGTCGCCATCGTGATCGATCGGGATCTCGATGCGTCCAATCACCGGCAGATCGACGAGAAACGTGGCGCTCATCAGATACCGAACAACAGATCCCGGTTTCAAATCCGAGAAAGTGTCCGTTACGTCCTTAAACACGACATGGACTCCAATATCTACAATCTTCGAGTCGTGCATGCCCAACGTGCCGGCATCCGGAATACTACCCTTTACAAACTCTCTATCGTTAATTACCACTTTATAGACAACGTCAGTGAGAGGTATGACGATGGGATTGGGGTTAGTGACCTTGACTTGGAAGATGAGCTTAGCCTCTGTAGTAGAGAGCTCAGAGATGCGGAGTCCGTGAAGATCAGCGGAGGGTTTGCCGAAACTGAGAGCGCTGCCGACTTTTTTGAGGACATTGCCCACTCCAGCTGCCGACTCAGAAAGTCCATCGCCAAGAACTTTCTCCTTCAGTTTCCACTTCAGCAGCTTCGCGCCCAAATCATCCGCCTGGAAAATCACGACCACGCCGACGGCGATGACCGCCACCAGCACCGCCGCGCTCACCTTCGCACACAGCGCCGACATCGTCGCTCCTCGACCAAGGACCCACTTGCACGGATCACGAGAATCTGGCCGTTGATCTTTGCTATCTACGGTCAATATCGCTTAATTCGTGTAAGTGGGACCTAGCCCCTCGTCTACCTTCACGTCTTCACGTCTGACGTGGCAAACATTTCCCCAAAAAAACCCGCGCCAACTCCTCGCCGCCAACTGCTGGCGAATTCGATTCGAAAATGCGCCTTCGCTCTTCTCTTTCCCGCCAATGCTCCTAAGGTTGAATGCGGCGGCAAATGTTTTTTAGAAGCTCCTCGCCAACTCTGCCCAAATAAATGCCTTTGCTTTCCCGCCAATGTTTTTCCCGCCAATGTCCTATCTCTCGGTTCCAAAGCCCCTGCCAACTCCCGACTCGTCGCACGAGAGTTTACTTTCCCGCGCCGCCAATGATTCCCTCACAAATGCCGAAATGTTTCCAAACCCCCCCGCCACGAAATGCCGCCGAAAAGCATTTGTTTTCCCGCCAATGCCCTTCGTCGACTCCCGCCTCGTCGCACGAGAGTTTACTTTCCCGCCGCCAACGATTCCCTCACAAATGCCGAAAATGTTTCCAAGCCCCCCGCCACGAAATGCCACCAAAAATCATTTGTTTTCCCGCCAATGACCTTCGTCGACGTGTCTCAGTTCCCGCCCAAGGCAAGGAACCCTTCTCCGCTTCATAATCTTCTGTTTCCCGTCGAAATTAAATCAACACCTCCCTTCCTCCCCTTCCTCCCCTCCCTACACTCACTCACTGCCCCCGTCCCTCTACTCACTCGCTGCCTTCAGCGGTGTCCTCCTTGCCGAAAACCTTGGAGGAGGGAAAGTCCAGAGTCCGACCATCCAGTGGCGGAGAGAGGCGCAACTCCGCACCGCGATTGCGCAGCTATGCTACCGCATCGCCAATCGACATTATCAAGAAATCGGCGGCCCGCACAGCGACTCCCACGTCAGCCTGCTCAGCTCCGTATGCCCTCGAGAAAGGCGCCCCTTCCACCGATCGCTTGCGCCCAGCAAAGCGGAGCAGGACGGGATATCGACGCGCAGAGCGACCCCCGAGGACGAGCACTACGTAGCCGCCCGTGCCCCCTTTCCGCCACACTACTGCGCTGCCAGTGCGGAGGGGGTTTGCGGCGTCCGCAACAGCCGCGATCAATGATCGAACCGACTATTCCCCCTCCTCCCGCTGCCGCCTTCCTCAATCCGCACACACACGAGATTGCTTTCACCTTCCCGCATCCCACCTATCAATTATCGAGCCTCGCTACACCGCAACGCATTCTGAACGCATCTGGACCTCTTATCGGTTCAAGTCCAGTCGAAATGTTCGATCAGTTCGAATGTATCTGGGTCAAAAGTAGTCCATATACGTTGCCGGATGGTGAGCAGCGGAGCGAGGCTCGTCGATATTGAACGCTTGCCCATCCTCCCCTCCCGCAACGCAGATACCCGCCACGCCAGCCGTGCTGCACCTATTTTGTCGGTTTCCCCCGATGGATCGGCAAGCGCGTTACGCGCCTGGCTTGTAAATGAAGCGATGGGCGACATGAGACCACTGTCCCCTCGCAGCTCCGGTTTTGTACCTCGACTCGTTGCCTATCTCCAAGGACCTCGCCGCACCACTGTCCCCTACGAACATCAGCAGACTCTGCATTACGATATTCAGCTGATCTTCTCCGCAGGTTCGAACGCACGACCTGTGGACTAACAGTTGCATGTGTGAACCTTTCAGCCGCGTGGGCTGTGGACCATACAGCCCGTCTTGATTTGTGTGTGTCATCCTTGCGGAGGGGCCATGCTAATCTTCTCTGTATCGTTCCAATTTTAACGGATGTCCCGAAGGGACCATTCAGCCCGTCTTTCTCCGACGGTGGCCCACTTCTCAGTCCACGGCCCTTTGTCAACCGACTGTCGCCCACTTTTCAATCCGCTCGCCTCCGCCGCCCCCTGCCCTGGCCTTCCAGCGTCGCCCGTATCTTTCACCAAATGCGAAAACGACAGAAACTATGACGCCCGTATCTTTCCAAGGATTGTGGACTAAGTTCTCTCAGTTTACTTCTTCTTTTTTTTTTTCAGTTTACAAATTTGGTGCGTGGTGCGGCGAGGTCCTTGGAGATAGGCAATGAGCAGAGTCTGCTGATGTTCGTAGGGGAGGGGACCTGAGGGGAGGCACAGGGTCCTGTTGGCATAGTCCCTGATGCTACCGGCTGTCCCCTACCGTCTTAACCCGAAAACAACGTACGTACGTTGTATACGAATACAACGTACCTGATACGTTGTATTCGAATACAACGTACGTACGTTGTATACGAATACAACGTACCAGGTACGTTGTATTCGAATACAACGTACGTACGTTGTACAACGAATATTGGGGTACAACTTTTCCAGGGCAAAGATACGAAAAATTTAAAAAATTAGTAAAAGAAAAAATATGAAAAATAAGAAAAATGAAAGAGGGGGAGCATGGTATCTGGCTGTGTCGGGAGGTCCCTGGTATCTGGGTTGCTGTCTGTCGGGGCGAGGTCTGTCTGTCGGGGCAACACTCAGTCCACATACAGAAGTAAGTGGAGATGTTATTTTTCCTTTGTAGCGGGCTTCTTTTTTTTTTCGAGGGTACGTTTTATTCGAGGGTACGTTGTATTCGAGGGTACGTTCTATTCGAAAAAAACGGCGCGATTTCTTAGAGGCCATTTTTCAGAGGTAAGTTGAATACAACATACGTACGTTGTTTTCGGGTTAAGACGGTAGCCGGTATCGCCCACCTGCAGGTCGGGAGCAGCCCCCGCATGTTCTCTCGTGAACACGGTTCTGGCTGCAACGGGGTTCCCCCTATTTCTACAATTAGGAATAGTGGTAGGTAGGTAGTGTCAGGTGGACTGTGTGAATCCTCTGGATACCCCTGATCGGTATTAGGGGGGTCTATGACCAACACGGGTGTGAGTGTGAGCGCGAATGGGTTGTGTGCGGTGTGTGGGAGAGTGTTGGCCATAACCTCTACTGCTACTCGATGAAGAGTGGGGGACGATGAGAAAGCGAGGCACAGCTACTGGCAGGTCTCGGTCTTTGTGTTAGCCAGACCCCCACTGGCGGCCCCAACCCTATACCCTAACCATTAGGGGCAAGGGGCAACATGAAATATCCCTTTCACAGAGAGAGGAAAACTATGCTTGCAGGGGTCTTCTCTAGATAGTCTTAGGGTAGGTAGTGGAAGGTAAAMAAAAACAGAAGTTGAGAGAAGAATATAGACAGTTGTGATCACCCCAWAAAAAAAAAAAAAAAAAAAAAAAAAAGAGAGAGAGAGAGAGAGGAAAAAAAAGAAAAGAAAAAAAAAGGCGATGGCCTTGAGGTATTATCATCGGATTAACGACCCCAGGTAAATTCAATGTTGTGTCTAGTCTGACACCGGGGGTGGCATTTTCAGCCCAAGGGTGGCCCTACAGGGAGAATTTGAGAGAAGAACTTAACAGAAAACGAGGAAGGAAAAATAATTGAAAAACGCCTTCTGGCGTTGCCACGCGGCACCGCATCCACCGCTGAAGATGCGATTCCGCGTCGCAGACACGCAAAGAGATTCTTCGATATTTCGGCATAGCCAGGTCACCACCCGCGCTAGAAAATGCTTCTGTGGAACTGGACAGCCCAAGAGCCAAGAAGCCAGTTTGTAATTGGAAATGGATTGTTGCGTTTTGCAGAAAAACACGAAGGGCCTACCGGTAGTGGCATGACTCGCGGCACCACTTGCCATCCGCGAAGATTTCGCTGCCACCTGGCACCGTATCACTCGTTGCCGTCAGACTCTTCCGCGAAAGCGCCACTGCAACTTCGCCCTAAACCCAAGAGCCTAGCTCAGTGGGTACACCATTCAACTGTTGAAATACAGACTCGTGTTCAAACCTAGATGATGGAACTTGATGAGTAAAAACCATAACGACTAGTACCTCCGCCAGTGTTGGGAAATTCCGATGTTTTGCTAGTTCCCGAAGAAATCGGGGGTGGGACAGAGGGTCGACAATGTCTCATAAATCTGAATTTTATAGTGCCGTGAGTGAAAGGAAAAAGGAGGAAAAAAAATGCTTTCTCTACTGCAATGATGCCGGACAGGGTAGTCCAGGAGACCGTGCTCACAATCTTCCTCCACAGAATGCACCTTACAGGTAAGGCGGTCACATTCTGAATGCTACTGTTTTCTTTTTCTCTAGGTCCTGTGTTTCTTATGAGTCCCCTGTCCGTGAATTGCTCAAGTTGTCCGTGATCTGCTCAAGCAGCGTTTTGTCATAGGATTGTAAGGCTCATCACACTGGAACTTAAGGGAATGTATCCAACCATTTTCACGGTCGGATCCATGTGCCCGTTTTTTTCCCCTTCTGATCTCTTTTTGGAATATGACAGCCTGACCACAGGGCTGAGATGTCGTCATTGAGGGCACACTCACACTACAACCTCCAAAAATGTATACAACTGCAATTACGACCAAAGCTTTGTTTCCTTTTTTTTTCCTCTTCTTTTCTGAGGTTCACGGCCGCAACTTTTCTTCTTCATTTTTTTTTTTTTTTGTTCTTTCCGTGAGAGTACCAGAAAGAAAACGGAGTGGTACCCAGGGTCGGCAAACTCGGAGCGCAGTGAAATTCATGATCGACAAAAACAGGCTCGGAGGTACTAGTGGKGGGAAAAAAAAAAAAAAAAAAAAAAAAAAAAACTTTGCCCTTAAGGCTGGTAGTTGCACCACTCGCCATTGGCCAATATTTTGAATGCATCAGGTCGACTTGGATGGTCCCATTCGGGTTGGCGAATGGCAAGTGATGCAGCAAGGCCCTAAGATGAAGAATCTGAGTCTTTTCTATGGCGTTGATCTGCCGATTCACGTTTTTTCCTTCCCCCATTTCCCAGGATTGCATTGGGCACCACCAAGCGGCCTATCTCAGTTGGTGAGGTACACAAGTGGCTTTCAGGAGGTCTTGGGTCGAATCCCCATTGACCTTATGTACCTTCCTGGGCAAGCTTGGCGCCTGCCACCTAGAGATAGAGGCGTTTGCCCCTCTTTGAGTGCCATTGAGCAGAGACTCCTGATGTTCATAGGGGGAGGAGACCGAAGGGGAGACACAGTGGCTGGCCTATGGAAGAGACTCTCTCCTGATGCTACCCTCTAACCTCTGGTCACTGGCCAGTATCACCCACCTTGAGGTCGGGTGCAACCCCCGCATGTTCTCTCGTTGGAGGCTTGAACTCGGGCTGGTTGCTACGGGTTCCCCGGTAATACTATAAAGATAAATAAAAAAGGTCTCTTGTCCAGATTTGACAGGTACTTGAATTGGTTGGACCTTAAAAGAAAAATAGAAGTTTGTTGCGTAATCTCCAACCTTTTCTGACCCTCTAGCTAACGGTTGAAAAGACTCCATAAGAACATTCGCCTAAGCCTAGGGTAAGCTGGGTCACTCCGGGCTTGTACCATTGAGCATGCCTAGCCCTAGTGCCTATAACTGCTCTTCGGTCCAAGTCATGCTCTGAGATAATCATGTGATATTACCCAAGAAAGAACGGGTGTCCTTACTAGTCGTTCCCCCCCTGACCCCCGTCCAATGCGGCTGTTAAACTACCACTCCCCCCGCCGGCCTAAACCCTCGAACTACCGGCAGGCCTGCATCGGCTTGTTTTTATTTGGTACAGCGGTCGTTCGCGGCCTACCGGGTCCCGATTCAATTCGTGGTACCGTCATGAAACAATCGGTACTCCGCAGCACGATGTCCGAGATGTTTCCCCCGGACATCGAAATTACCGCCCCGACCAATTTTCCCATTTTCCTAAAATACGGAAAATGTTGACTAATTTGTTTTTCGTGATATTTCCGTGATTTTTTCTTTCTTGTAAGTACATTTTTTTGTCTTATTTCTTTTTGTTTTTACATTACTTCCAGCCGCCAGGGAAAGGACACCATCATTTCAGGTCTGACGCTCGGCCTCGTGTCTTGTCACCATCCCCTGCCGAAAAGCCATCGATGGGTGACCAATCTTCGTTCACGTATAACTTTTCCACGTGGCACCGTATCGTCGTTGACGAAACCGTGCAGTCGGTCATCGGTTGCTACCCCCCACCTCCTCCCCACCCCCAGCCCGTTGCACCCATCCGATGTGGCGACCCTATCTCAGACGACTGACGTGGTGGGGACGTTATGTCCTGGCGCCCCTAGTCCGTGTCGATAGGGTGCGACATCGCCGTCTATCTGTCTCTCTCTGTCTCTCTCTCTCTGTTTCTTTCTCTCTCTCC